GGCAGGTACCTCCAAGAGTTGTTCACTACAGCATGAGGAACAAGCACAAGAAGCTGGTGTTGAACACGGTTGGGCTGAGTAAATTTCAATGTGGCTGCAGCGCGATCACTCAAACGTGACAGCTCGTGATGGCGACGCGTAAAGATCACGTGTATGACGCCGTTCGCACCAAATCTGTCAGAATGCAGCTGAAGAAAAGGAAAAACAATCTTAATTTCAGGCAGATTCTACCTGATTCTGTAAGAGCTCTATGAGAATCCTTGAGAACGGTAAATGGATAAATTTACAAGAAAACGCCTGCATCTGCATTCTGTGCAATTCTTTCTGAAGCTGAGAAAAAAAAGTACCTGTCAATTCGGGCAGATTCTCGCAGATTCTGTCACAATCTGCCAGAAACGTGAGGGTTCTTACCCATTCTGGCAGATTCTCACAGATCTTGCCTGAAGTACCCTAGCCGAGGTGAAAAAAAATCAATCTTTGAATTTTGTCCAGAACGGACCGTCATAGGGATGGCTTCCAGATCTATGTAGTTCAGTATTTAAATCCACCCTCATTCTTACCGAGATTTCTCTCAGTGTCTTCCCTTAGAATCTGGTGGGAGCTCTACTCCCGATTATCGCTCGTTGTTTGACAGCGGTATGTAAGTAGCAAGAGTTTTGGAATAGCTCACTTCGGCCATGTCGGCGTCTATCATTTATGTAATGGGGAAGCTAACATTGGCATCAATCATGTTGGCGGCATACCCGTTTCTATTCATAAGCCCACACAATCATCAAAGACGTGGGGTTCGGTTCGCTCTCCGTCCTCTCCCACTGAGGTCTCCTTATATCGTCTTCGGTCCTGCTCCTGGCGACGATGGCCTTTTTGACCCACCAGACCACCGTGATCTCTCGATATCTGCAGTCGCTCGACCTTCCGGTAACGTTCAAGGGCTTGGACGTCCAGACCCTCATCAGACAGCTCGGTTGGGCGCTCTTTTTAAAAATCTTCGCAACATATGGGGCATTCAAACTCCTCAACTTTGTTTACGATGAATTGACTTCACCCTTGCGGGACCTACCTGGTCCTCCAAGTAAGAGCTTCCTCTACGGAAACTTCAAGGAAATTCGGGAGGGGGCAAGTCATCGAATTTATTTTTTTGCAAGAAACACTGAAATCCTTACACAAAAGTCTATCTATTCAGGAAATTGGCAGGAAACAAGAAGAATGGGCCCAGAAGTATGGGAATACGATTATGCTTAGAGGGATTTTTGGCGTGGGTGGTTCCCGGCGAAACATCTATGTTGCTGATAGAACCCATCGCTACCTCGTAGGGACCACGCCTCTGCACCATGGACCTCAAAGCCATGAGCCATATCCTGACAAATAATTATATCTACCAGAAATCGGAGAGGACTATATACAGTTTGAAACGCTTGATGGGAGAAGGTTTGTGAATTTGACGTCCTTCATTCTTCGTCCGTCTCATACCTAGATAAAGGTGTCCTGGCGGTTGAAGGGGATACACATAAGCGCCAGGTTTGCGGAGATCATTCTTCCAGCGTGGCGAGGTGCTAACACGAAGCGGTTGCTGTATGTCAACAGCGCCGAATTCTGGTCCGTTACAGTGTGTACTTGAGAAATTCCGCCATTTCGCTGACTTTGCCAACTTTGTCAACAGAACCCTGCCTTCGGACCACAGCAAATCAGGGAACTAACAGAAATCTTCGTCGAGAAATCCCTGGAAGTACGTCGCACGCATCCTCACCGACTCGACCTGATTTTCCCTTTTTTCTTGCATCGTAGCTACGTGACAGTTGGAACGAGGAGATTGCCAAGCAAACTCTCGACGGAAGAGTCAAGGTCGACGCTCTCTCATGGTTGAGTCGCGCGACTCTCGATGTGATTGGCCTCGCAGGTTAGGACTTTTTTGTTTGGATGTTTAAGTGGTAACTTCACAGCGTAGTTCATGTCCTCCTTAGGCTTCAACTACAGATTTGACGCCCTCTCCGACGGTCCGGGGAAGAACGAACTCAGCAACGCCTTTGCTTCGGTGTTCAAGGCTGGTAGCGGGGTCAATATCATACCTCTCCTGAGGCGTAGATTCAAATGGCTGCGGTGGCTAGTAAGCATGCATTTTTTTCAGAGTCTATCCTTCGCTCATTGTCCTTAGCCTGCAGAGAGCGACGCTGAAGTGAGGACAGCAACTGCAACCATGAAGAGGATCGGAAACCAGATACTGGAAGACAGTAAAGCTGCACTCGCTGACGGCGGCCATCTCAAAAATGCAGGGAATGAGAAGAACCTGTGGCAGTCACGCAACCTACTTTCTCTTCTGGTCCGTGCCAATACCATGCCCGACCTGTCGGAAAATCAGAGGTTAAGTGATGAAGATGTCTTAGCCCGTAAGTTAGTTCCGAATTAAGCTGGTCGATTGAACTAATGTCCACTATTACTAGAAATGTCAACGTTCCTTGTGGCAGGCCATGAGACTACCAGGTGAAGAGGCATCGTTTGGTCTAATCTTGTAAGCTCAAACTTTATTGACAGCACAGCGACAACATGGGCACTGTTTGTTCTATCTCAACATCCCGCAATCCAATCTGCCCTCCGCTCCGAGCTCGCAACCATCTCGACCGATAATCCCTCCATGGACGATTTGAGCAGCTTGCCCTACTTGGACGCTGTCGTGAGGGAAACCTTGAGGCTGTACCCACCCGTGCCTTCAACCGCCCGGGTTGCAATGCAGGATGATGTGATTCCACTTGCGACACCATTCGTCGATCGGAAAGGGGTTGAAAGAAACCAGGTGCAGTAAGTGTCCAATTTTTCTAGGCTTGGATGAAGGCTTGCTAACGAAAGGCCCCTACGCATGTTTAAGTATTCGCAAGGGACAGGTGGTGTTAATACCCATCGTGACCATCAACTGTGCCAAGCTGATCTGGGGTGAGGATGCAATGGAATTCAAGTAAGCGCCTGTGCCACATAGTGATCTCGGGAACAGCCGTTTGCTAACTTAGCGCCCGTCCGCGTGCCTTTCGTTGCAGACCAGAACGTTGGGCAAATCTATCGGATACTGCGGGTGCCGTCCCAGGAGTATGGGGAAACATGATGACGTTCCTCGGCGGACCCAGAGCGTGCATCGGCTACCGATTCTCCCTCGTCGAGTGCGTACCGGGCTTTGTCACGTCGTTGTGTAGAAGAATGACCTTTCATAACAATAGGATGAAGGCTCTTCTGTTTACTCTGATACGCGCCTTCGAATTCGAGCTCGCGGTGCCCGCAAAAGATATCATCAAGAGAGCTGGTATGGTTCAGCGTCCTGTCTTGATGACCGACCCTGAAAAGTCAAACCAATTACCCCTGTTCCTTCGGCCTGTTGCACAATGAGATTGACCTGCAGATTTGAACGGGACGTGATACTTACTTGCACAAGACCGTAATGTGAACTATCGTCTCGAACGTGGTTATACGTGACAAACATCCGAAGTCGTCAAGTGACAGATGAAACTCAGTACTCGAGAAGGCACGGACGCGAAGCCTGATCAAGAAACATGTTTCTCTGCAATGTGGGGTATCTGCCTACCACACCAAAGCGTGTGCAACAAATGTCTATGTAGATATGCAAGCTTCTCCCCAGCACTAGATCGACAGTCAAGAAAATCACCACCACAGTCTCACAGCAACTACCGCGGACTACCACTGCATGCTTAATTTCGGATTAGGCGGCGGCGACCCTCTGACCGTCTCCCATTCCGTTCCTGGTAGCACCTCCCAATCACCGTGGCAGTCCCACTCCCAGTCCACCTCTCTGATGATCTCCTTCTGTGCTTCCACGAACGTACTCAGAGGGCACATCCCATCTTTCTGCTCCGGGCAGCCTTTGATGCCCGTCAGTGGGGCGACGCCGTCGTTGATGATGATTCGGATCTGCGGGCCGGGGACGGAGGTGCACTCAAGGACTAGATAACCAAGGTTAGCGAAAGTAGGAGCCAAGACGAAGGACACGTACGTTGGAACTGAAGGTTGGTCGCAAACGGTGCGAGCTCTGCTACTTTGAACGACCTGTTCTCCGGAATATGCGTGTATGGCAGCGGACCCGTCTCGGCGAACGTCGTCAGGTTCAGAGCGGTGATAACTGTGCTGCAAGATTAGCTTCGATGAACCACATCGAAAAGGAAACACCTTACTGTTGAGAACAACGACCTCATGGGTGGCATCGACGTACAAGCTCTGGCCGAGTGGGAACGTGATAGGGTTGTCGTCCAAGGTCGAGTTCGTGCTCGAGTTGTGCGTTTGGATTGGGGTATGTGTCAGTCGCGCAACGAATTCCTGAAGCCAGCCAACGCCTTGCGTACGTGCAACGGGCGAGCCAAATGCGGAACCGTACCAGAACTGGAGGTCAAGACTATACAGGCGATCAGAAGATGAACTAGGGCAGACGGGAGAAGCACGTACGCGTAGTCAAACCCGTCCCACTCCTCCTCCGTAAATAGCTCGCAGAACTTGGAGTATCCCAGCGCGACCGTCTCGTACGGGCACAGCTGTTGCATGGTGTACACGTCCTGGATCGATAGGTCCAGGCCGTCAAGGTCCTTCTGCAGGCGCTTCTGCGCATCATTGAGGTAGATCTCCGCCCAACGCGCGATGTACCAGTCACCCCTGCTCGCTTTGGACTTGTCGCTCGCATTCGGGCAGGTCTTGTACGGAGCAAGGGTGTTGTTGAATCCCTTGGCCTCGATGGTGATGCTCTGCTGGTATTGGCCATCGAAGGGGTATCCGAAAAACCCGATAGCGAAGTTCATGGCCGAGGCGAGCATACGATCCCTTCAGATTAAGGTCAGCTAACGACGGTGAGGAAGGAGAGGATGATGTACTGGGACTCGGTCCGGAATACCGGAATCGTGTTCTTCTCAGTGAAGTTCTGGAGGAGGAAGCCATACTTCATGCGCATCGAGATACCGAGGTCGTCTGTATAGTTTGATTAGTCCGGTCCCAAAGGGAATGAAAGCCAAACGTACGTAGTTGCTGTCTTCCAAACGGTGTTAGAACTACGGGAAATTATAATCACTCTATGCAGCAAAATAGGCGAGCAAAAGAAGCGTACGCTCTTCGCCCAACTTGTATGTCCAATCGTTCAAAAAGTCTAGTGAGCCTTTCGCGTTCCAGGACGCTGGGTCACGATGCAGTTTCGTGCCAAAATTGGCCGGGCCACCGTAACTCGCTGTAGGCGGCTGAGCACCACAGAAGAACGCATATAGTCAGAGAAGAACTCACCCCAAGCGGTGGGGTACCTTGCTCCATGCCGATGCAAGAAGTGCAGTCCAGTCACCCGACACGTCTCAGGGGTCTCTGGCCCCGAATCCACACCAAACTTCCCCCGTTCGATGCTAAACCATGGTGATAGGTTGCCCCAGCTGTGGAATAGATTGAACTTAGACTTCTTCTTCTTGCCCTTGCCATGTTTCATCGAGTCACCCTCCTTCTTCGCCTCTCCCCCGAGTTCTGTGGGTCGTAAGAGCTGGTGATTACACTGGCCTGTGTGCAAAGGGTATGCTGGCGCGGTCTCGATGACGGCGGCCTCGGCGCCGGTCGGTGTCCCTCCTGCATACCCTACATTCGAAGGAAAGAGAGACGGGTAGGCATTCGTCGGTTTCGATGGAGGAAAATTGTGTACTTCAGTGGAACCGACATAGGGCGGTGCAAACACAGACACTCTATTCTCCTCGCTCCCGTGGTGGTTGGAGGATGTTGTGGGCCTGGAAAAGCATCCTGTCCCACACAGTGCGTACTGAGCGACAAGACAAGCGATCGAACCGAGGACAAACGCTGCTGAAACGTGCAGGACACCGAATTTCGGTTCTCGACTGCAAGACTTCGAGAACTTCGATGACTTTGGTGAAGGAATGTCCACCTCCGGTCTTGTGGTGGGTAGTAGAGCCTCTGTCTCGGCGCCGGCGACGCCAGACTCAACGTCGGATCTTGCGAGCATGCTGGGGGGCTTTGCTGTGGTGGCGGTGGTGGACAGGACGAGAGACTGATGTGACCGAAGTGGACATTTATCACTTTTCCACGACGTCAATGAAACCTCGAATACATGACCCAGATGTAAGATTAATTGCAAACATCTAAAATCAAAATCAATATTACACCTAGTATACAGAGGAGGCAACTACGAAGGGGTAAAGGGAAGGAGAAAACCTGGTCGAGAGAGGATTACCAGACTAGAAACTAAGCAGATGCATCCCCTTCACAGTACTGAGCAATTTTCTTTCCTAAGATCGAACCAAGAACTTGACCAAAAGCCACAGAAGCCCCAAGATTCCAACCTGCGACAGCGAGTAAACCTGCCTTGCCTACTTTACAGAGACGAATCATCAAGGAACCCATGACAGAGTTATACTGTTCATCCCACAACATCACGAACGATGGGTCGCGGGTGTCCAGTAGCGCCACGCGTCCAACGAGAACGTCTCCACATGTATTTGCAACGGAGATAGGGAAGGTGGCGTTGTCGGGCTGTCCAATGTCGGTAACACAAATGAATGACAAAAGACAGGGCCCGTTCCGGATGATATTCTTTGCTGGGATTTCGAATGGAATCCTGTCGAGAAGGATTTTAAGCGGGCCTCCACTGTCGAACTTCGAGGCAAAGTTGGCGTCGTTGAAATGGAGCATCTGCGCGACAAGCACATTCTGCACCCTGGATGCTTTATCGTCGGCATACCTCCATCCACATCCAATGTCGGACAAGAGCTTCAAACCAACGGCGCCAATGCCCATCTCCACCGCGTCGGCGACCTCTTGCTTAAACTCGGATGAACTCGACAGGATGTTTGACATGGTAGGCATTAAGCTGTCTTTATCATCAACGACCCTTTTGCTAGTAGTCGTGTATGCCTCTTCTCCACAGCTATCCACCAGGCCGGCCAAGTCCAGCACTTCCTGTCCATCGTCGAGTACGTGGGCAACGACGTCCAAGACACTAGCAGCGCTCGAGAGGAAACCTGCTACGAAGGCTGTCATGGGAGGGAATGCATGTGCAGCTGGCGCTTCACTTGCAACGAGCGTCGACACGTGCCCATCTGTCACTGTGTAGCAATGCGGCCCGAGATCGTTCGCGTCTGCGCTGTCGAAGAGGAGATCGTAGAGCACGTCGTTCGCTTTGGTAGCATTGGTAGAGTATTGGGTAATTGTATGCGCATGTATAGTCCCATCAGACAGGCTGCCACCAGGGTACGCAAGCCAAGTCGGATTCGTTGCCTTCGCACGGCTTTCGTCAACGAACGACACAATGAAGCTTCGGTTTTGCCTCTGGATGAATGGATGCGTAGCAGTGACAAGCCACTCAGACCCGTCAATCGAAAATAGGGATCTGTTTCCACGTCGGGGTGTGGAGATGAACGCAACCTCCCTCTTCAACTCTTCCCCACTGTCCGCCTTCATCGACTTCACGACATCCCCTTTCTTGATACTGTCAATCCGCCTTAAACTATCGTCTGCCATGACCACAAAGGTATTTCCAGTAAAGCATGATGAATCTGGATCACAGCTGAACATGGAATCACGAATGTAGCGCCGCGCGAGCGTGACATTGACGGCATCCCAATTCTTTCCAGTTCTATCCAAAACTGTTGGATCTACTTGCGGGCCATCGAACTGGCCAGCGAAAATCCAGCCCTTGTATTGCCGCCAAGTTGTCGGAGTGATATCAGCGAATCCACCTGGGTTGAGCCTCGGTTCGACGGTGGTCAGGTTGCAGTAAATGTCGTCGATGTCGGACTCGGACATTCCGCACGCGAGGCACCGGACGAAGTGCAGATACATCTCGAGCGAGGGCTGGGTCCATGTACCTTGGGCTTGCTCAGCTTTACGGACGGACCTCCAGCCGGAACTAAGAAGTGTCTGCTTATAGGCTTGGGCGAGGGCAAGGGATGGGCGAAGACCAAAATGCTTTCCGAGGTACGCGGCGTAGAACACGGCGGCAGAATTGTAGAAAACTGTGGTTAATATGGCAAGGTAGTCATCCGTCTTGCTGAGGCTGATCCAGGGCTACGGAGGGATATTTCAGCATTTTAAAGTTCAAGGCGGCGCGCCACGAACAAATGCAGAAACTTACATGAATGAAGTCGTTCCTGTTCCAAATCGCCTTCACCACGAGCGCCTCACAGTAGGCCATATAATCCCACTGAATTACCGTATCAAGGTACGGAGGGTAACTGAAGATGCGATCTAAATCAAAAGCTGGATAGGAGCCAACCGCTGCGACTTTTCCTCCATAAAGTGGTCCCGATATTGTCCTCACTAAGAAGTTCACGGCCATCAGCGTGACAGGGTGTTCTTCAAACGCGACAGGAAGTTGCATGTAACTGAAAAGTGCTGGGTCAACTTGTGCTCCCGCTATAGTTGCATCTATGGCATCGCCAACTGCGACCTGTCTCATGACGGACGGGAAAGACGGAAAAATCCCCTGCTGGTCAGGCTCGGGCGAGATGTTACTAGTTGCAGCTGTGGTGACAAGTACGTGACTCTGTCCTAGATGGAGCATTCCAGGAGCATTTCTGACCTTGATGTCAACCGTGGCAGTCTGCACGAACCTCCGACTATCAACAGCGATGCTCGCACCCACAGTATACGTCGTCGATGGGGTGTGAGAGGGTGCTCGGCCAGGGAGGATAAGAATCTTTCCGCCATCAGGATGGTGTGTCGCCAGGTGGAGTCCCAGCGGCAGAGGAGGCGAGATCGACCATGTGAGGGGTTGAGATCCGGGGAAGTCCATGGTCGGCGCAATACATTCGTCGCGCGAGGTGGTGTACAAGATCCATGACTCGGGAAAATATGCCAGCTTGCCCGGTGCAAGGGGCTGCATCTCGCAGACCCACTTCGTTGTCGATGAACTTAACGAAGGTCGCCCGTTTTTGTCAATGGAGAGGTATCCATTGGTGTATGCTGACCGGATGGTGTAGGTTGATGATTTGAGGTACAGTATGTCTCGAATTGTGACGTATGACCCTTTCTCGAGGCCCACGAACTCCCACTGTCGTTGCCTCAGTTGCTTTGTGTACACAGCAGGATCGACTGGGGTGGTATCTCCCTTGGGGTTGGACCGCACCTTGTTTGGCATAGGTAGGGCGACCACCGATCCGGTTTCATCGATTGCAAGATATAACTTTGCTCCTGTTCTTGTTGCGAATGTCCAAACTGTCGTTAGACCATTGGTGTCGGTATCCACTGATGACACATTCAACGACGTTGCACACAAGACGCGTTGAAAACCCACTCACAATTGAGGCAAGTATTTGGCAAGTAGGAGAACTGTTTGGCGAGCTCGACGGAGCCTTTGATGAGATCCAGTTGTGAATGCGTAATGCTGATATACGCTGCCCCTTGCTTCAAGGAAACACCTTCCAAGGATGGGGTGCTCGGGCCGCCAGCTGGAATAACCCTGAAGTGATCCACTGCGATATTCTCCATGTAGAGACCTGCTTTCTTGACGAAACTCTCGATGAAGCGACTCAACGGGCCGAGAGGCTGTTGAGGTTTGAACTCAGAAGCTATTTCAAGGCACACAAGTCAGCAACTGAGCGATGCTCTAAGTCGGAGTCTCACCAATTAAAACGACGAGTCCAGCTAAAATGAACGTCTCATGAGCAACGGAGCAATTAGCAAAGTGGCAATTGCACTTACCAACAGCAAAAGCCACGCTTAACGGGCCCATCACACTCGAAACCATCTGCAGCACAGCTACGGTGCCAGCTTCCGACGACAGAACACTACCTCCCGAGATAAAGCCAGCGGCGCTACCAATGACTGCGAGTGAGTGCGAAAGGATACCTAGGTCATTCTTAAACGTTATGAGAGGATTGGGCCCAGTGGTATGGTTCCAGGCTGCCAACGCAATGTTGGCGAGAGCCACGACACTCCCAAGACTCCTTGATAGGCATAACGAAGCATTCTTGCCAAAAATCTGAGCGATGAGAGGGATTTGAGGGCCATCCAAGATAAGATTGTCCTTCGTTGTTCCAATCAGCCAGCGGCTGAATCCATCTTGTAGCTATGAGAACAGGAGTCATCGTCAGCCTTCAAAGGGCCTTGGAGGAAGATGAGATGCACCTCAAGAGCTTGTGGGCCAAAGCCATCGACGAACTCTTCACTCTCGAAAAGCATTTGGTTACTGGTCGTCCAGGGTGTTATGTCGTCGTAGAAAGTATCCACCTGAAGGATGCCTTGCCCGAGCTTAATGCTGGTGATGAAGAAGCACTTTGTGCAAGCTTCCACGATGTTGTCCAACTTGGTCCTCTTTATTAGAAACGAGGGCAAGATAATCGAGACGGACGCAGTGAGAAGCATGAATGAGTTGAACACGGCCTCGCCATTGACAAGCTGCGTGTACCAATCGTCGTGCTCGCACAACCTTCTCATGTTTGATACCGTCCCAGGCCAGCCTGTAAAATAACCAGCTGCGGTGGTGGCCGATGTCAGCAGACGCATGAAGTTGTTGACGACCTCTTTTCCCGTGACCAGCCCTTTGAGATTGGAGAGAATGGCTGTGACAAAAGGATCGACGGACGCCCTATACGTCTCAACGAAAGATGATCCCACCTTGTCGATAAGACCGACAATCTCGACAGAATTTCGTTGACAGTCAACGTACTGAGGCAGGACGACCGTAAGTGTAAACGCTCGGAGCTTCTCGTTGAAATTCGCCTGGAATGTCTTGCCAGCAGGATTGACTCGATTACCCTCCAACAGCCCGAACACCGCACCGAGAGTCTTCAGCTCCATGGCCACCTCGGCCGCGAGTCGGCCGCTGGACATCTTGGTGTGCAAGTAGGGAAGATAATGGGTCTCGGTGTAGTACATGAGCATGAACGCCCAGTACAGGTTGTACTCCAAGGCCCACTTCTCGAGCTCCTCAATGCTCTTCTGAGCCAACGCTAGGTTCTTAGTCAAATCACCTGTGATGTCCGGGATGCCTTTCACTCGATCTGCAAGCTGCTCCTTCAGCACGTTCGCCGCCGCCGTAATTTGCTCGCCATAGTCATTTCCTTCTTGGTCATCAAGATATGCCTGGATGACCGGATACATCTGCTTCCACCGAAATGCGTACAGCATCGTGCTTTGCGCTTGGTACACCGGGTCGTTCGCTGGAATCTCTCGAAGAACCTTGGAGGCTCTGACTCCATTCAGATGCTGTGCTGCAGGCAGCGACGAAGTCGAGAGGGATGCGACGAGGAACGGTACTTGGAGGCTATTGTAGAACTTGGCATTGTTCAGCGGGTCGTTGTGGAGAATGTTCCTGATCTCGGGGAGGAGGTTTGGAGGAGGCCCACCAACGAAGGTATGATACAGGTCCTCGTCCATGAAATTCAGTATGCCGAATTCGAGATCCTTGAGCATCAGCTTCGTGACAGCGTCGTACCACTGACCGTCAGCGTTCTGGCGCATTGGGCTGAGGTTGAGGAGACCAATGAGATTAAGATTGGAGGATGGGGATGAAAGGGTGAGGAAAGGGCCGCGGATGGGTTCGACCAACGTGAATCCCAAGTGGGCGACCGAAGAGATAGGCTTGTCAATGTTCTCTGGGAGGGTGTCTGAGGAAAGGAAGGATGAAGTTATGAAGGAACGCTGCGAGGATATCATGGAGGGTGTGTGCTGTCCTCTGATTGCGTATACATCCTGCTTCGCGTCGGCGTATGCCCCGACAAACGTTTCGCCCATTGAGTCGAAGTCAATGAATAGAAGGAGAGGGAAAATACTTGAAACAGCGCTCGAAACACGCTTCGATGAGGGAGGTGGGATGACTGCGGGGTCTCGAACACGAACGCTGAGGTAGCTTGTCATATCGTTATTCTCCTGGAAGACGGCAATGTACTGTCCTGGCGAGTCCTTCGCGGGAAGACCAAAATCGAATGTGGGTGGGACGGATGGGCTCCCTGACTTGCTGTCCGTTATCCCTAGCTCAACAACTTGCATTGGCTGGATAGGATCATCGTTGCTGACGGTGTCGAAGGCGAACAATCCTGCGTTCACCTCCCACGTCGCGTTCTTCCAAGACGCGGACGTGACATCCCAGGTCAATTCGCTCTTGCCCGACGAGAAGACGGCTCCCGCGTTCGCGGAAACGGCGATGGAATACGTGGTCGCATATGGTTGGAGTAGAATGGCGTAAACGTCTTTGTTGTTGTGAATCAGAACGCCGCTCGAAGAGAGAAAATTCATCTGCCCATGGATCACGCCTCCACCATCCTGTTCGTTCAGACTTCCCGTGAAAGTGTAGACCATCTTGTCTGTAGAAACGTTGACGTTTTCTGGCGATATCCATGAGTTGTTTATCCATAGGCCATGATTCGCTCGACCAAAAGATGGAAATCGGACTGTATGGCCTTCATACAAGAACCGTTGCGCATCCTTGATATTCTTGACGGCCTTGTGTCCCCCGATGAGGATTGCAAATTTGCGAGGCAGACCGTATGGATTATCCACGAGAACTCCACGGTCGTTAGGTAGGGTGGACGAGGAAGAATATGGCATTTATACATACCTGCTTTCGTTTGCTTCTGCCTCAGCTTCTTCTTGAGGGCATCTAACCTCTTCTGTTTCTTCTCATTGAGGACGGACGCCCTTTCCTTAGTATGCGAGAAACGACCAATTTGTTGCTGAATGGATATGGAACTAAATGGAAGAGAACGATTGGTAGCCATTGGAGTGAGGACGGATAATGGGATAGCAGAACAGCGAACGTACTGACTGACTGCACAGGCAGTATCTAGAATACCCTGGGTACGTCCGCGTTCTGGAGTTCCTTCAAACATCGAGATCCGAACACCTTCTGGCATTCATCCCTATGTTCAATCAGGTGGTCGATTGTCAATTGAAAGGTGAAGTTGAGCCGTGTCCGACGGCCATAACATTTAATGCTGGTGGTCAGGAGGAACGATCTAGCCTCGATAATTCGTTTTCGAGTAGTTCTTGTAACTTATTCAACCGGTTCAGCTTGGACGCGGTGGAAAGAAAAGGAGGTTGAAAAGCCGGTGTACCAACAGTTCACACGATATTTGTGGTATTGAACTGGACTTCGGAACGCACTTGAACTTGCTCCTTCAAATGTAACTTGCATGAATCTGCTCTTGATGCTCATCTCTGGTGTCTCGCAAATTGCAACATATTTTCTGTGACCCTTCGTACCCGGAAACACGACTTGGCCGGAGCTGGCCTGGAATGAAAAATCAAGCACTCACTCGACCCACGCCACCGGCCACCACTTCTGTCAGGCAAACCGCGTCGCACAATACTT